TATATATATATATATATATATATTTATTTTTTATTTTTTTTCCATGTATGGTTAAACACCCACTCTTGTTTAACCAAATTTTTTTTACTTTTTTAATTGAACTGTTTTATTTAATCTAGTTTTATTTCAGACACTAAAATGAATCCATATAAAATAACAATAAAACACTAAAAAAAATACCTGTATCCATCTATTCACTTTATTCGTAAATAAATATTAGTATGTGTATTATTTATATAGCAAAAACAGCATTTTCCCTGTTGAATTGTTAAACGTGAAAATAAAAATATTCCTGATCTATAGTAGAAAATTAAATATTTCCTTATTTAAAACAGCTCCTCCTATGACCAAAGTGATTGTAACCCAGTGACAGGTGGTAGGGTAGCTATGCTAATGCTGAGCTAATGCTAAGCTAATGGTAGCCACCAGGCGCCTTCAGTAACAGTGAATCACACTGCAGCATGCTAACTAGCAGCGCGGCTACTTACATGCTACTTTCTGTATGACCCAGATGTTTATTCCAATTTCCAGGATCCACAGCACTGCAACAACCAATAACGTATGCTCTGTCTTAAACAGGACCAAATGCTTGTCCTGCCAAAGTGTGTGAAGTTTTCCCCACAGCGGGGACGGAGCACTGGGACTTTTTCTCCGCAGACCTCCTGCCATTCTTGCGCGTAGATTAAAAGCGACGTGGAACTGAGGCGCTTTCTACCATAGACGATAGACCCCGCGTCATCGGGTGAGAGGCGTGCCGACAGAGCGGCCATCTAGGGTCAGACCAAACTTCTGTCAGATATAACACAAGTAAATTCAGGCAAATGGTACTTTAAGATTTCAGACACACACAGAATCAAATTAGCGTAGATAAGTTTATGAGACAGAAATAACATTTGAGATGACATATCTTAATTCCAAACCAATATAGGGACACAATGAATCTGATAAACTTGAATTAGATGACTTGCAGCATAGGATGGACGCAATTTGAAAGCCGCAAAGCCGAAGGAGCATTTATTCTGTCTCGTACAAAAAATGGCTTGAAGAAGCAGAACCACGCTGCTCTTTTTCAAAAGAGATGCTTCACAAGTTTAAATAGCAATTCATAGTGTCCAATCCTTTTCCAATGCGTCAGGTCTTTCCCTTACTCAAAATAAATGTAAACTATTACCTATAAATAACTGTTAACAGCATAAATGAACAGAATCCCTATAAAAAAAATTCCTGTACAAATATATAGATATAAAAAAATCTTTAATTACATAATTGCAGTAATTAAATACTGGAATTTGAAAATGTATGCTTTTGAAATCTGATTTCAAATTGCATGATTTAAAAATAGAATTGCTGTTTTTCTTTTTCAGTGTCTCTGGTCCTCCATACAAGATCGTTTCTATGGGTATAGCGGTAGAGTGACGTAACGAATCTTAGACCTACATCACGTGACATGGGTACCGCAGCTAACGCAGATGTGTCAACTTGACAGTTTTCCATTTTCTTTCACAGGTAACGGAAGGACTAACACTAACTATTTGTTATATAGTATTTCTAATCTTTGCTTGTATTTCTAATATGTCAAGGCGGACTTTTGTTATTTTAGTTACAATGTGAGCAAAATGTAGAGGTCAAAGAAGGTTCCTGGAAGCCTTAGCTGGCTAGCAGCTAGCATCACAGTTGTAGTGGCATTTTTTAAGTCCAGGTACTTGAAATGATAAAAGCTTGATAGCCAAAGTACATCCCCACAAAGCAGTATATATATATTTTTTTTTAAATAGGCTGATCCATTTCTTCTTTTGTTTTTTAGAGGATTTATTTAGTCTTAATAAACCAGACCTAATTTTAACATTGAAGTAGTATAAGAGCTGTACAGTTTTTTTGGGAATCTTATTTTAAGAACATTGTTCAGGTTATATTTTAAATATTTGCACTGAGTGATTAAGGTTTGATAGTAAATTTATGGGTATTTTTAGATAGAAAAAGTTAACTTCAGTAACAGTCAATGTGTTTCATTAACTGTGATTGTGTAAATATTATGGACTAGTTGAAAGAAAATAGATAGCAGTTTAAATGATTGAAGTTGTAAGTGAAGCATTCACAACTTGCATTCAATGAAAAACTACAGTTTATTGTAATCAATGGGAATTAGACTAAAACTGAATAGAAATGTAAATAAAGATATTTGAATAGTTTTATGTTAACCTTCAAAGCTCCAGTTATCTCTAGTGCTTCAAAAACACAGCTTATTTGTTGCTGTGCTATAATCTACAAAGTAAACATACTATTTCTATTATTGATTCAAGCTGATATAAATGTTTGCTGAAATGTAACCCACTGCTAACTTGCCAATTGTAGTTTAACTACAGCTAAAATACAGTCCACCTTAACTGGAGTGAAGGAGATAACTCCTTTAGTTTATAGATTGAGACTGATTGTTTTTTGTGGTTTAAAGTAGTTGATGACGGCTGAAAAGGGTATTCTTGTAGGAAAAGTATGTGAGCTTTTTTTCAGACAGTTGACCAGTAATGCCTAACAACATCTGAGTGGGTGATAGGGAGTATTGAGTACCTCATAGAGATACAAAAAACTTAAAATGACTAAAAGATAAGAAACAACATATTTATTGTTAGTATTTATTTTTTAATTTTGAAATAGAATTTCTTTTTTGTGAGATGTTTATTGCTGTAGACAGAAAGGGTCTTACTTGTAGTGATCTGTCTTACACCAGATCTGGAGAAACCACTGAAGACTGTTGCTGTATGAGAGTCTGCTGAAGAGGAGGCTGATGGTTAACCTTAATGTTCCTCATTTAAGGAAAAATTCTTCTTTGTAAATCTAGGGATGTCCCGATCTGATATTGATATTGAATATAGGTCCAGTATTAGCCAAAAAACAAAAATCTGATTTTATCGGCCAACATCTACAAGCTTCGATATTTTCATTGGTTTATATAACATTGGTCAGTTTTTCTCATATCTTTTGTTGTTGACTTCTGTTCCTTGTTTTAGTAATATTACTTGATAAAGCTTTTTCTAGCATCCTATAGTATAAAACAAGTAATAAAAGCCTGTATGATTCGTGCTAATATTGTAATGGCTCAATATCTGTATTTGCAAGTTCTCAAAGCTGCAGTATTAATATTGCATCAGAAATTTAAAATTTGTATCGTAAATCCTATTTAAAACATTTCCAAAGTTCTAGAGGAGCTTCTTTAAGTTTCTTGCTGAAGGACTTAAACTTCCTCAAGAAGTTCAGTCTACCTTTCCCTTCGTTTAGAGGTTCTCACGGATTTAATCCAGCTTTTATTATTTGCACAAAAAAAGTTAATAAAAGATTATGTACACCTAAGAAGGTGAATTGAAATAGTTTTTGATTAATAAGGAAAGAAACCACCTTATATCCTTTAGTTTTCAAACTGGACTAGTTAAAATTCCTGTTTCTATAATCTAAAAAGCTAAAGGGGAAAAAATAAATAACATTCCCAGTTTGCAGAAGGGTTTTCTGTTATTCAGTTAGTATTCAGTGTAAAACATATCAAACTATCTGTAGTTCTTGAAAGGCATTTTGGCACTGGATGGTTGTTGTGATGATATCTTCTTCCTTTTTTCTGGATTCAGAGCCATTACAGGACATCCAGGGAGAATGGATGGATTTTCCCTGAGCCTAACAGAGGTGGTATGCCTTGGGACCAGTTTAGGCCTCACTGGCATCTTCTACTATGTACACAAACAAAACCGCAAAACTGTCACCAAACTTGAAGTAAGTTGTTGTTTTTATATCTTTTAAACATCCTTAAAAATGTTTTCTAACTTTGTATGAATCTAAGAGTGTTTGGAACCTTTAAAATGTTTATTCAGAGTAACCAAGGTTTTGAAAAGCTGCAACTTCTGTTTTAAGAAAATCATATGACAAGTCAAAAAAACTATATATATATATATATATATATATATATATATATATATATATATATATATAATTTCATGATTGAGTTTGTTGCTCAATACAGTGGATTATACTACACAAAAGACAAGTAAATTGTTTTTATAAGCTAAAATTTGCCAAAATTTCAGCCTTTGTTGGAAAATTATGCTAGTTAAAAGTTTTATTGTACAATGTGCAAAATCTGAAAATGTGGGGTGTTGTCCAAGTCTACAGATTTGTGCATCTTTTTTTTTTCCCAGAATGCTCCACGCATTAGTATAGATGGAAAACTCAAAGACCTTTTAAACGTTACTCCTGGAGCCTGTCTAAATTATGCTGTGGTTGAAGGTAATCACAACTTCACCGTTTTGACACAGAAATGAAGTGAATGCAATGGTTTAGTGACTTGTTCTTATTCTGTGTGTCTGGATGTTTTCTTCTATATGTAGGTACCGTAAAAGCGGTGGGTGAGCCTCTAAAGAGTCAGTGTCACAAGGAAATTTCTGGTGTGTTGCAAAAATTTACAATAAAGGAGCACAGGATTGTTTGGAGCAGCTTTTCTCGGACGTGGTGAGTTTTTGATTCAAACACTGGCTGTTTTAGCTGGATATCAATCATCACAATGTTCTTTCATATCAGGTTCTATGTTTGCCATTTGATACCCAGCTTTAATTTAGACTGTGGGCATTTCCCCCCTGGCATTTATACACTATTATGTTTGAGCCAATTCAAAAAGAGTTTGTATTAAAAGCAAAATAAACTATCTATTGGATTATATAAAGACTGAACAGCTTCCCTTTCTGAAGAAAATAATCCCCACAGCATGATGCAGCCACCTCCATGGTGTTCTGGGTGATGTCAAATGTTAGTGTTTTGCCTCCCCTGAATGGGTTGTAGCAAATTTGAGCACAATGTCTGTTTCAATTCTTTTTTTCAATAACTTCTTCAAAGAAGAAGAAAGGAGTAGTTTTAGTGTTGTATACTTTTTGTTTTCACTTACATAACATTATTTTGAAGCGCTCTAACTTGATCACAAGTGATGCTACTGAACCCACCTCTTTACGTCACTAAGGGAAGACATTTTGACGAAACAATCACCAGACTGAGAAGCTTAACTACATAGTTTATGACAACATAAAGTGAATGTATTTTTCTATTATTTTATATTTTCCTAATTTCTTATGTTCTTTGCCATCTTCACAGATACTTAGTTTTAATGTTGAAAGCTAAAGTTTTGTCAAAAGTAATCATTTGAAAATGTTTCTTTCACCTGCAATTTGCTCTTTATAAATTTATTTTTAACTAATTTCTTATTGTATTCTTTAAAAAGGCTGAATGATAACCAATCATTTCATTTTTTCAGCAAATTACGTTGGCTGTTATGATCAGATGGTTCTCAGTTCTTTGGTAGAATCTTTACCAGTTATTTTTTTTTTTAACTCTTGAGGATTTTATTTTTTCCTGTACTTAAATAAAAATATATAAAAATGTTACTCTTACTTGAATATAAGCCATCTCTACCCTCCCTTGTTTTCCAACAAGCAAATTTTTTGCTGGAGTTATGGAAGCTTCTTCAGAGTTTTTGTAACTGCCAGAAAGTTTGAAGTCTCATTTTAAAACCTGATTCCTTTCTAAACTTTATCTTTCTAAACTTTACCTCATAATTTTTGTGATGTGTTCATTGGTCTTCATGATGTTTTTGTTTTTCATTAATGATCTTTAACAAATCTCTGAGGCTGAACAGGTCCATTTATATTGTGTTCAACTATTAATCTGTGCTGCTAAACAAGAGGGAAAACTATTCACAGTTAGAAGTATTATTTACTGAGTCCGAAAAACTATGCATTTATTGCACTTGGTCAAATGTAGGATTTTGCATGAAAGAAGAAGAAAGGTTCAGCATAGTTTGGGTACTATTAACATGCTATGATGAAAATAAAAAATGATGGAAAAAAATTAATTTTAAAATCTGATTAAAACAAAAAAAAGAATGAAACAATGAAAAAAAGAAGAAAGCAAATTATGCTAAGTCATTTTAATAGATAAGACCCTCTAATGGTGCTGTCTACAGCGAGGCATTACGTACTGACCATGTTTGATTGCGTAATGAAGAGAACTTCACTTCAGTTTCTTTCCTCCTCCTGCCATTTTTACTTGCAGTTCAAGACAGTACTGGAAAAAAGCACAAATGTTCAGTTTATGTATGCCAAAATATTAATAAGAATAATATATTTTTGATGATTACTTTGTTTATTTTATCTTTTTTTTTCAAAGAAGTTTTAAATAAAATTGATTATCTCTATATGAAGCCCAGTTAGTCTTCTTCCCAAATAAGAGGCTCTGATGGCAGTTCTTTGCACATTTCAATACTCTGCATTTCAAAAACTAGCCTTTGTAACCTGGTAGGGTGGGTTCCGTCCCTGAATTACTTCACAGCAGCCTGAGCTCCATTTAAACACCAGAGTTATCTAAGATAAAAGTTTATTATAAAAGATTATCTGATGTAGGATTTATTGTAAGGAATGATGTCTTTACAAGTAACTCCTTGACTTCTAACTGCTGCTCCAAAGTGGTCTGCTATCGATTCCAAAGCATACAGGGAGACCATTTCTGTCTGCAACAGTTGCCTGGAAGATACAGTTGTAGTGCCCCTAGAGGTTAAAAGTTACACTGTTTTACTTTAATCTACTAATCTACTTGTTTTTTCAAGAAATAGTTTGATTCATTTCACAGCTATAAAAGTTTTTCTTCGGCACCTCACATAAAATCACATTAAATTATGTTGAAGGATTTGATTTGAACCCGGAAAAACCTTAAAAGTTCAAAGGAAAGGATGAATACGTTACTTACTGGCTTTGTTAGGATGAAATTGCAGCTGTAAGCTCATTAATACGGGCATGGCATTACTACACATAGTTCAAAGCATGAGTTTTATTTTTTTGCTGAAGAAAACCAATTGCTCTCTCTGTCCCTTCGTGTTACAGGATGGATTCAGAACGCATCTTACACCAAAGAGTAAATATGGTGCCGTTTGCTCTGGTTGGATCGGACCAGGCTGCAGTCAAAGTCCAGTCTCCTCTGCAAGCCAATGGAGTGTTCACAGAGGTCATCAATGAGAAATTTCACCAGGCCAGTTATGGTTTCGGAGACCTTGTAGGGCTTTACATTATTGGAGAAAAGTCCAAAGGTCACCTGGAGATTGAAGAAATGCTAAAGGTTGGTAGTTGGAGGAATCAAACAAGATGTAACTTTGATGCTTTCAACTAAATCAGACATGTGAAGATATCTCGATCTCTTCTACAGGTGGGTACGACTCTTACTGGTGTCGGCGAGTTGACCCTAGAAACAGATGGTACTCTGACTCTTCGACCCCCCTCTGATAACTCACAGTATTTCTTGAGCTTGGCAGACTTTGAATCCCTGCGAGATGAAATTGAAACCGTGGCCGTTTGGTGGAAGGCGCTGGCCGTTGTTTCTGCTCTGGCAGGGGCAGCAGTCCTCTTCTGGGCCGGCTTTCGCTTCTACCGCACCCTACAGGTCCGCTGGGAGCAGGAGCGAATAAATGCGGAGTTTGCGCGGCTGCAGGCTGAAGCCGCCAGACAGCGTGCAAACAGAGGAAACGCAGAGGGTCCTCACGATGAGGCTAACGGCAATGATATACAGAATGTGTGCGTGATCTGTCTGGGTGAACCAAGGGACTGCATCCTGTTAAATTGTGCACACGTGTGCTGCTGCTTTGTTTGTTACCAGGCCCTCCCACAAAAAAAGTGCCCCATCTGTCGACAGGACATTGTCCGGGTTTTACCATTCTACCATGCGTAAAGCACCTGTGCGTCTATTTAACCTCTGCACCGAGGATAGATCTTAGTTTAATAATACTTTGGAAACGGTTTTCCAGTTGGCCAGGTAATATATAAAACACCTCATGACAATAAAAAGAGTTGTGTGTATTTTTCAGCAATATAGATGTTTATTTTTGGTAAATGTGCCTTATAGGAAAAATAAGGCTGTTGCTGTATCTGAGTGATAATATTGTACTGTGTACGTTTGCTCATAAAGGTTTTGATCTAAATTAAAAAGGGAAAACAGGTTTTCCAATGTAGTTTAAGTCACACACCTACAAACAGAAGGTTTTAAGTATGAACATCACTAGGTTAAAAGTGGATAAAATAGTGTGATGAAAGATTTAACTAATTAAAAAGCGACACTTGGAGACTTGTTATAAGTAGAGGATTAAATGAGCAAATGGGGGTTGGGTACTGTACCCAATTTCACTAAAAGCTGAGATCACAATAAATTTGCAATAATATTTAAAGGTTTTCAAAAATAATCTCATTTTAGTCACTTCCTAATGTTTTGGGATATTTTTGTTTTGTTTTGTCTTTTACTAAACCATTCTGATAACTGGATTCCTAAAAAAAATCTGAGCCATTTCTTAAAAAACTGCAGTAAATGACCAGACCTTTTGGAACCGCCTTAAATCTTTACTTTCTTAGGTGTAACAACATGATTGAACATTGATAAGAGAACACATTTTCTGCTAAATCTGATTAAATAACCTTGATAAAAATATTTGAAATGTGTTCTAACTGGGTGTAATCTGGAGGCTGGAAAGCATTTGACTTCAATGAATTCTAAATGTTTGAGATCATTTGAATTTTGAGACATTAAAAATAATTGTCATAGTTCAATTTACTTTGATAAAGCATCAGATTGTCTGCTACATAATCAGATAAGCTGTGATGTTTAATATGTTAAACTAGTGCTAAGAAACAAAGACTAATCCATTCAATATTTCTAATATTATTACCCTAACCCAATGCTGGTATTACCAACCTCTATCTGATGTGAGCTGATGTAAACTTGTTGCTTAGGTTCCTCCTTAACAGCAGCAGTTGGTCTCGCATCTGTTGATCAGTATAAACTTGATAACTTTAAAAAAAGAAGATTTGGTGGTGTTTAAAGTGATTTAAATTACTTTATTTTGTGTTTTGTTGCTACTTTAACATTTTACCTTTTATTATCCTGACATCTTTAGTTCATATATGTGTGATTTGGAACTAGAGATTATCGAATAAATTAAATGCTCTCTTAAAAATACTGAATTGGATTCAGTGCAGCACCTCAGCTGAGAGTTAGACACCTTAATTCTTTCTGCAGTGTGCACATTATGCACAATGTTCACTGTAAGAGTATTTAAACTAAGCTTTCTTTCAGGATGCAGCTGCTGAAAAACGTTTTTTTTTTTTCATTAAATAGTCCCAGGAAGCCATGCTGCCCTGAGCACAAAGCCAAATTAGCCACATCAAAAATCTCAACACTTTCAATAACCTGCAGCATATTATCAAAATTAGACTAAACTAGTTAATTGCAGAGACCTTAATGCAAACAAACATTAAACGCTCAGAAAAATCTGATATAAATTAGGGCTGAAACAATTGGATAAATCTTGATTAATCGATTATTGAAATAATCCCCAACTAATTCAGTAATCAATTAATTGTTAGCCGGAGTGAAGAGACTCTGCTGACTACCAAAAAAATAAAAAGATATATATATATAAATAAACATTTTGTATTTAAGTTTAAAAAAATCTTTTCTGTCTGTCAATATGCTCCATCCAGAACTCAATTGGAAAAGTTTTAGTTTCACCTAGTTTAATTTTCTAAATAGTATTGTTTTGCTATCAGATTATTAATCGATTAATCGAAAAAATAATGTAAAATGTGTAAAAATAAATGTAAATCCCTTTATTGCCCCACAATGAGAAAATTCACTCTCTGTATTTGACCCATCCCCTTGGGGGAGCAGTGGGCTGCCATTGAAATGATCAATAGATAAATTGAATTGTAAAATAATAGTTAGTTGCAGCCCTTACATAAATACAGATGAGATCTTTATTTACACAAACAACTTGGGATTTGGTGTACATTTTAAATATCAAGAATATGGCATAAAATAGCCACAAAATGTAAATTAGAGAATATGCTTAAAATCTTTATATGNATATATATATATATATATATATATATATATATATATATATATATATATATATAAACATTTTGTATTTAAGTTTAAAAAAATCTTTTCTGTTGTGAATATGCTCCAGCTAGAACTCAATTGGAAAAGTTTTAGTTTCACCTAGTTTCATTTTGTAAATAGTATTGTTTTGCTATCCAATGATTAATCGAAAAAATAATGCAAAATGTGTAAAAATAAATGTAAATCCCTTTATTGCCCCACAATGGCGAAATTCACTCTCTGTATTTGACCCATCCCCTTGGGGGAGCAGTGGGCTGCCATTGAAATAATCAATAGATAAACTGATTTGCAAAATAATTTAGTTGCAGCCCTTACATAAATACAGATGAGATCTTTATTTACACAAACAACTTGGGATTTGGTATACATTTTAAATATCAAGAATATGGCATGAAATAGCCAAAAAATGTAAATTAGAGAATATGCAAAAATCTTTATATGATACAGAGTTTAAAACCAACTTAAATGATGGGAGATTCAAATTGCAAGAAAGAAATTGACTAACAACTTTCCTATCATTTACACACAAAGATATACTATATAAGATATGCAGTTTCTAGTCACTACGAACAAACAATGGATTGGAGCAGAACTTCCTTTTCAGGTTCCTACAGATACAGACTACTTCAAACGGTGCAACATTGCTAATGTTGAACCAGAACAGTATGATTTCCTTATAAGCATTAAATCACCAAATGGAGGCTCCTTGGAAAAAAAGCAATCTCCAAGTTATATAATGTCCTCTTACTACAAGAAAGGACAATACACTTTACATTAAGAAAAAGTGGGAGATTGAAGCAGGAGAAGTTATTTCCACTGACAACTAGGAGAATATTTGTAGGTTCCGTTTGACTTACACTAGTTCTCTGGCTTGGAGGGAGCATCGCTGGAAGAACATAAGATTGTTTTGGAAAAGTCTTTCAAAATAAATATGAGAATTTGAACGCTGATTTTTGGAGAAAATGTGGATCTGTTAAGGTAGACCATTTTCATGTATTTTGATCATGCCCTGCATTAAATTTATTCTGGCCAGGAAGTTCCAAGATTCTAAAAGAGGTCCATATTAATGATTTTATAAGCATATATTTTGGTTTTATTGTGACGCTGGATAGAGGAGGAGATATAAAGCTGCTACAGGCTCTACAAACAGCCAGTAAAAAAACGCAATAACCAGAAATTGGCTAAAACCAACCCCTCCAATACTAGAAGACGGGTTTAGCATTGTTTTAGTTATATTTAAATTGAAAAAGTTGACAATTTCCTTAAGAACCTGGTGGGAAAATCTTATATTTGGGATAAATGGTGTACTCCCCTTCCGAAATGATTTTGTATAAGTCTTATTTCTTAGTAAGGCTCTGCCACGACCTTCTTAAACTTGGAGGAAAAACAAAAGACTAAAACTTGCTCTTCTTTAAGAATAAGTAAAGATATTCTGGAGCTCCCTCTTAAAGCCATCACATCATACTTAAACACATATACCGGTAATTCGTTTCTGTCTCTTCATGTTTTATTTAAATATCCTTTTTTTTCTTTTTTCAACAATGTTAAACCAAAAATATGACTCATTGTCTGTGTAAAACTGACTGTAATTTCATCTTTATAAAAAAAAAAAAACAATGAAAAAAATAATTTAAAATATCTATTTTTCTATGTTGCTGACTGTGTAGGGAGTCATTTGGATATTTCTGCCTTTTCTAACTAGCAACAAGTTCCTTAAAAAAAAAAAAAAGTAAATTCAAATCTTTATTTATTCAGAAGCAAACACAAGAATTGAATTAAGAAAACAAAGTTATCCGATCTCAGCATGTTATTTTAACAATCAGTTCCAAGAGGAAAAGAAACAGGTGAAAGACTCAAATCCTCCACAGTTAAGATAAAAGACGTTTTCCTGACAAATAAGTAGCTCTGAGGAGGACTTTTGTTTCTTAAATATGTATGAAAAAGATGAGTTCTTCCTCTTAAAATGTCTGTGTTCTGGTGCTATTGTGTGTTATTTTTCTCAGTATTAATTAGTAACTTCATGAGGATTTTTATTTATTTATTTATTTTTTAACAAATTTGCAGTTTCTACCACTAGGTGTCCATCTTTGTTCACCTTGAGTCTGGGAAACAGTGCAGCAGGGGTTGACAAAGAGGGGAGACCCTGACTCCTGTGGATGTTCCCACATCCCATGCAATTATCACACGTTGACGTCCGAATTAAGCTGAGCTGATGGCTGTCAAACTTTATAGATAACATGATTATTCCCTAATTGGATTTACTTAATAGGAGCAGACTGAATTCTTATACGGATTCAGGGGACAATTTAAAACTCACTGCTCTGAATGCTTTCTATTATTTAGAAAAATGTCAGTTTAGTGCATTTTCTTTTAAATAGATAGTGCCATGGGTTCAAATATTGCTTGTTTGTCACTAATATTTTGGTTCCAGAGTTAGCCCATAAGCTACAGGCACAGCAGATGGAGAATTATTCTTTGTTTAGCAGCACAATAGAGCTTCAAATAGAAATGGCACACGTCCATCTCTGCAGAAGTTCTGAAAAATCACTTCGTGACCTCGTGTGCTTTAGCTCCTTGCAGTTGAGGCCAGCATGGGGAGCTGTTTCCCTTTGCTTTGACTCTGCTTGCCAGTTTTTTTCGCAGCCACCCCTGCAGAGATGCATTATCTCAGGAGACAGAGCCATCACAGCACGCCTCGGCCCCTGATGCCAATTACCGCTGTCACCCATCTGCTTTGGGCATGCAGTGAAATGTGGGATAGGTTGACCTACTTTCTGACAGCAGTGCGGCTGCAGTGTTTCTCCTCTCACTAACAGACGAAGAGCTCAGTCCCTGGGGAGAACCGGGCAGGGAAGGGATCAAGGGAAATTCACTTTGACTAGATATGATTCTTTTTTTTCTGGATTCTTAATGAAAAACTATTATATTCTTAAATTTACATAATGAACCATAATGTTTTCCATCAGTGCTAAAGTTAGTCATCTTACATTAAATTCTAAATAAACAGCATAAATAAACACAATGAGCCTCTCTATTAATTTATCAATGCTTGAATTATTGCCAAAGATATTTTATGAGCAAAAGTACCATTTAGATAAAGAACTATACTGCAAATGTTGTTATTGTTGATACATTTTCATTATGT